TAAGAAACAAAATGATTTAACAAACTCCATGATTCTTAATCCCTTTCCAACAACCGATAGAATCAAACTCTAGAAAAGCAATTCATAGACATTTTGAAGGGCTAAATTAATTATGCAAAGAGCAGCTGTAAAAAAAATATACAAGATCCTTCAGTTCAAAGATTGTCTAACAATAAAGAACTTCGATCTTTCTTAAGTGCAATCACACTAGAAAAAGAATTATGAAACTACCAAACAATAAATTAAAATAATAAATAAATAATCTACTAGAACGATTCCTACGCATTTGCACGGGCCATTCTGCTAATTATAAAGAGAATTATAAAATCATAAACACAACGACATATATGTGTGGGTCACCGTGCACAGAGTTAAACTGATAAAAGAGACAGCAGATCGACATATGCGGTTAAATCTTTCCTTTGTTTCGCTTGTTTTCATGAGTTGCTTGACCGATGCCCTACGTCATCGAGTCTCATTTCATTTGTTTGCCGATTATACGATAGTCGTCAGAGACCCTGTATATTGAGTGCCCGTGAAAACTAAGTCGGCCAACAACTAAACAATCGGCGTATAAACTGTTTTTTCATAGTTTTTTGTAGCACCTCTTTTTCTAATAATTTCTAACAAAGATTACCGCAACAATGTGCATGGTACGTATCATCTTGTATATGAGAAAGTGATAACGAAATACGTGTTCTTATGTCTTGAAACGCTAGAAGTATTTTCTAAAATTAGAAATGTTTGCCACTGGGGCTAATAATATATAAGATTATAAAAACATAACATACATGCGTGGATCCTGGAAGAGGATTTGTGGCTCGGGTGTGCCACACACCCCTATATGAATATAGCATTAAAAAATATATTAGGAAATTCAAAAAATTCTGAAATTTTGAGATATGAAACTTGGGTGCCCTTTGTACACATGTGTTTAGTTTCGTGCGGAATGGATGCCCGTGGTAATGCCAGTAAAAAGACAAATATGTATATGTAGAAAAAAAAACTGAATGTAACGTATGTCGGATCGTAATTCCTATGCAGCGGATACCACGGGCATTCATTCCTCAAGAAAAATGAACACAGGTGTACAACGGGCACTCAGGTTTCATATCCCAAAATTTCAGAATTTTTTCAAATTTTCTGATATTTTTTATAATGCTACTTGCATATAGCGGTGTGTGGCACCTGAAAGCTGTAATGCACTTTCCTGTGGTTCACCATATTGTTAACTGATAAAAGAGACAGCAGATCGACATATGACCGTGGAATCTTTCAAGCCTGTCGATACTCGATAGATAGTATTCTAAGTTCATTTCGAGTCTTCCCATACCAATTATGCAGTATTCAAGAGTCGATCATGTGCGTCTAGCCGTTGCTGTTGGTTGTGCAAGTTGCTATATGATATGGGGCTATATGTTTTTACTTTTGTGTTGTCTATCACCATTAGAAAGCATGAATATAAGAAACAAAATGATTTTACAAAAGCATGACGCTTAATCTCTTTCCAACATTGATAAAATCACACTCTAAAAACGCAATTCAAATAAATTTTTGAGAGCTAAACTAATTGCAAAGAGCAGCTGTAAAAAAATATACTACCTTCGATCCAAATTAATTGACGTTGCTATAGTACGACTTATAGCAGTGTCAATTAATATGAATCGGAGGGAGTACAAGATCCTTCATTTCAAAGATTTTCTAACAATACTGAACTTCGATCTTTCTTGAGTGCACTCACATTTGAAAAAGAACAATTATAGAACTACTATATATGATAAATTGAAATAATGAATTAATAAACTACTAGAATGATTCCATGCATTTTTTGCGAGAAAACTTCTAATCTATTCATCTTGAATCATGGCAGTACAAAGAACAACAGAAATAATAAAAATTATATCCAGATTCGTAGACAACCTAACGACGATAACAAGAGCTGAAACGAGCCGAAGACGCGCCGCCATCATCACCCCTTCCCCATCAGAGCCGGACAGTCGGCAAGTCGTTGTACTAAGGCCCATAGGACCAGTGCAACAGAACAGTAACCGTTGCCGATAGAGAGTAGCGTAGATCGGAAGGATCCAACCTTAAGACACACATACGTAGACGAAGGACGAACAAATCCGAGCAAATCCACCAAGGATAGATCTGCCGGGGACACATCTCCACACGCCCACTGACGATGCTAAATTACAAGTTTTTCCTAGAATTACAAATGTTTGCCAGAGGGGCTAATAATTAACAAATGTACGATTGTAAAAACATAAGCACAGCGACATGGATGCGTGGGTCACTGTATAGTTTTTTTTTATGAAAAAACCTCCGATCTATTCATCTTCAATCATGGCAATACAACGAACACCAGAAATAATAAAAATTACATCCAGGTCTGTAGACCATCTAGCGATGATTACAAGCACTGAAGCGAGCCGAAGGCGTGCCGCCGTCATCGCCCCTCCCTGGCCATATAGTTAACTGATAAAAGAGACAGGAGATCGATCGAGATGGGCGGATCGAATATTTCGAGGCTGTCGATGGACAGTATTCTAAGTTCATTTCGAGTCATTCCATAATAAGACTATGCAGTATTCGATAGTTGATCACCTGGGCGTCTAGCCGTGCGTTGCTCTTGGCTGTGAACGTCGCTATATAATAGTAGGAGGCTACCTGTTTTTATTTCTCAGTTGCCTGTCTTCTTCATAGAGGAGCATCAGCTGATACTAGATCTGCAACTCCAGCCATATCTAGAGAGAATCCAGAGAGAGAATGGAGGGCACGGCGCAGCTTGTTTCCACCGTCGGGCTGCGGGTTGGTGAGGAGTTCGGGCAGCTCCGCCGCGTTGGTCGAGATGTGGCTGAGCTCAGAGATGAGCTGGCCACCATGAATGCCATCCTCCGCATGCACTCTGAAGCTGACGAGGGCGACGTGGACCACTTCGTCCGGGAGTGGATGAAGCAGGTGCAAGAGCTCGCATATGATTCGGAGGACTGCATCCACCTCTATATTTTCCGGATCAGGTGCCGGCGTAGCGACGGCCTTGTCGCCTGGTCCAAACGCGTGCTTGCCACTCTTTTTCCTCGACATCGCCTAGCAGGCGACATCAAGAACCTCCGCGCCCGTGCGGTTGCCATCAGCGAGCGCCACGCTCGGTACGGCGTCAGCAGAGAAGCACTGCGCCGCTCTCCTTCTTTGGCTTTCGCCCCCACGCCGCCGGCAGCGTCCTCATCCCCATCTGCGCTTGGCCCTGCCAACGACCCTGGCCACCTCGTCGGCATCATCGAGCAGGCTAACATCCTTGGAGAACATCCTTGGAGAGAAGGTGAAGGCGGTAGATGACCAAGAGAGGGACATGAAGCTTAAGGTGTTCTCCATCGTGGGGTTTGGAGGGGTTGGAAAGACTACGCTGGCCCTGGAGGCGTGCCGGCAGCTGGAGTCCGAGTTTCAACGCCAAGCACAAGTGTCTGTGTCCCAGATCTTCAACGCGGAGAAGGATATGGAGGGGCTTCTGCAGCGCGTGATTCAGCAGATCGTGAAGCCAAAAGCAAATAATGAGGAAGGCATCAACGTGGAGGAATCTCCCCAGGGCAACATGACTTTGAAAGAGCAGCTCGAGTCGACACTCCAGGACAAGAGGTTCGGATGAACGCACAGTCCTCTTTATTATCACTGCACATTAGGGAGTAGGAGTAGTAATTATTGCTTACTTAATACACTTTCTCCGTTCCTAAAGAGACCTTTTACGGTACATCAGATCAATATAGGCCGTTTATTTTTGTGTTTGGATGGTCCAGATTTAGAAATACTACTGCAGATTTTCGGTAGTATATTTTGTGTCAGGGGCAGTTTCGGTACTATTGCGACCAATACGGAATTTAACTCGCGTAATAATAGCATTAGACATTAATTGCCTCCTACATGCAGCGTCAAAGGGAACCTTCCGCGTTCTAGTTTGGTTATATGTATTGGCCATCGCATGTGCATGCATTGCCGCATTAAAGAGAAGAATTAGGAGAGTTGAGACATGATAGCGGGCTCGTTTGGAAATCACTGATGAGAGACGAATTGCCGAGGAACTGATCTGGGGCGGCGTTCGAAGACCATGCGACAGAGCGGAGTGGCTGGGCGGTCAAAGATCTTGGGGCGGCGACCGGAGGCCGGGAGACAGAGCGGCCATGTGCGATTGAGACGGCTGCCGGACTGCTTGGGCAGCTGACGAACTGCCTGGGCAGCTGACGAACTGCCTGAGAATTAAGGGCAAACCTACTAACTAAGATGAACGACAATTATTTTTTTAACAGATCTGATTACCTATGTTATTAATCGTTACAATTAACATTAAGAAAAGACAGAATTTACCCCAACAGGCAATTACCAAAATGTCCTAGGGAGAAAAAAAATAGGAATCAATAATATCCATCAGATCAGTTATATACTACCCACTATTTCCGGTAGTATGATGCACCGTAAAAAGTCTCTTCCTAAATACTAGTTAGTATAAGATATTTTTGCTTTTTTACGATTCACATGTATCTAGACGTGTTCTAAGCTTCTAACTAGTGTGTATGTTCACCCATCTCAGTCTGTATTTAGTCCACATCAAAATATCTAAAACATCTTATAATTAGGAATGGAGGGAGTATTTTAACGGAATCCACACTTGCTCTACTAGTATAAGAAGTTATTTATCAGCGTTTATCTCATGTTTGATATCAAGTTCTAATTAGACATCATTAGGGAGGGAGGGGCCCACCCTGAAATTACTACAATTGGAAAGGGTGTGTGGGATTTTCGTACAAAAATCCATAGGTCTAGCATTTTGGGATCTTACAGGTCATTATGCATACTATGGTGAATGTGGTATTCATCATTAAGGGTGAAACTGATTAATTAGTGATAATCTCCAGCAAAAACCGTTTCTCGAATCCCATGGTACAAGATATGGCAATGGAAAACACAGTCCATTCTGAATCCGTTTCTTCTAGCAAGATTATCCATGATTTAAATATGAGATATCTTAATCTTTTACATTCAATTTGTAGATGCTATCTTTGTCTATGAGATATCGTAGACAGTAAGTGTTTCATCATATATTTTTAGGTTCTACCGCCTAGTGCTTTTGTGCTTAATGTGTGTGTATAATACCAACCGGGTCTGTCTAGGACACATATGTCACATCTAACCTGATGTCCACTATGTTTGTGGTCTATTATTTTTTGTCCCAGTAGTTTTTCTCTGTTTCTTGTTGCTGCGTTATTTGTGGGAGGTTAGATCTGACATCCTTAGAAAACATATAGATGTGAATTAATTAGACAAACCAATACCAATATATGATCGTTGTTTTTGCATCATTTTAGTTCTGAACACTAGTCACTGCCCGTGCATCTGCACGATCTATGTTATGTTTTTGTTTTGAGAAAAGAGGGGCCACCTCCTCCGATTTCATTTAGAGAAACCATGGTCTTTTCCTAATACAAACAACTAAAATAAATAGAAACTGAAACAAACATCAGTAGCTTGATAAAGTCTAGACATCCAATGCAATGCACAACCAGGCCAACGACGGACTCTAGATAATCCAGCATGACACCATAAAATGAGGAACTTCATTACAACTAACAAAATGAGGAACTTCATTACAACAAAGTAAAATATTTCGGGAAGATTGGATCCGATCCCAGGCAGAGTAAGGTGCACAACTGACGATCATTTGGTTAGCCACCATCTATCCTCAGCACTCCTGGTCTCAAGCCTTCAGAAACTCTAAAATCTCACTTGCTAAGTTGCTATGTGTTTGATTAATTTTGTTCCCAGCAACATCGCCCTTTGATTCCCTGCTTTAGATGCAAAGTTTCCCACGCATTAATCCAAAAGCAGAGCGGATGAATCAGAGGAAAAGGATCATTAATATTCCTATCCCTAAGACAAATATCATAGCGATCTCTACAAATTGACCAAAAATGACAGTCATACAAACACAAACTAAATGTTCATATTCCTTTGGGAAACTTTTAAGCCAAACCCTAAAAACTTATTCAGGTTAGACATAATCGCTTTCTAATTGAAAGCACAATAAATCAAACTCCATTTAAGTTGGCAACAAAGCAGGAAAACAATAAATAGTGTAGAGTTTCATCATGTCCACAAAAAATAGCAAGGCATGCTACTAGTCAATCCCCTCTGCAAGAGGTTATCTTAGTGAATACACTGTTTTTTGACATAAGCCACAAAAACACATGAATTTTATGGGAAGTTAACTTTCCACATAAATTTATGTGGAAAATTGCTATCAATCATTATCACATTTGATATAATGATTTGACAGAGAACTTACCATCAACAGCAAGCATCCATCTAACACTATCTTTCTGTTCAACTAAAGCAATAGCCTCAAATTCGACAATTCATTCATCCCACATTCTCAAAGAATCTCCCCAAGAGTTCTTCTAAAGTTCACCGTATGCGCTGATTGGACATACTCATACCCATGCACAAAGGGTTTTGTGTGGAAATTGCTTAGGTTACTCTCGTAGCCTTCTTTTTTTGACAGCAAATAGACTTTATTCCTCACATAATAGACAAGATTTACAAAAAGAGGAGAAATAAATTCCGGGATATGATAATTCCTTTCTAAGAATGGTTTTGGTGAGTCATATGTGATGGTCTTTATGGTGGTGGTACGTAGATTAGAACAACTTCGGAGCTAAATTTCCAAAATAATGATTACGTTTTAAAAAGTATTGATTAAACAAACTATGAAATATTAAATTTTTCTAGTGCATGGAAAATTCCTTTTTCACGTGCAAAGTCTTTCTAACTCTAGCATACATATGATGAATCCAGGTACCTAATTGTGATCGATGATGTGTGGACCATAGCAGCTTGGGATGCAATCCTAGCCAACTTGCCAGAGAACCACCGTGGAAGTAGAATCCTGGTGACAACTCGGATAGCGACAGTGGCTAAAGCATGCAGTAATAGAAGTGAGTATATCTATCCAATCGAGCCCCTGAATTCAGAAGACTCCAAGAGGTTGTTCCTCAGTAGAACATTTCCATCCGTTGGTGCCACTTGCCCTGATAGCTTAAAAGTTGCAATGCAAGATATTTTGAGAAAATGTGGTGGGCTTCCATTGGCCATTGTCAGCATTGCCAGCTTCTTGAGAAACTATAATTCACCAGATGGAAAAGATATGTGGGAAAGAGTTTCCAAGTCGATTGGATCTCACATGGAGAGCCAACCTAGCCTTGAGAGGATGAGGCAGATAGTCACACTCAGCTACAACCATTTGCCTCATGACATAAGGTGTTGCATGATGTATCTTAGCATTTTCCCAGAGGATTATGCGGTCAACATGCATCGTCTGTTGCATAAATGGATTGCTGAAGGATTGGTTGCTGAGGTGCGTGGATTGACCTTGCTGGAGGTTGCCCAAGCATACTATGAAGAACTTCTCAGTAGGAATATGATTGTTCAGGCAGCAGAGGAAGTTAGAAACGAGGTTAGCAGGGAGACGTGCCGAGTGCACGACATGGTGCTTGAGGTCATGGTGTCTAAATCACTAGAGGCCAACTTTGTTAGCCTGATAGGTGGGCCGTACGAAGGGATGGCATATGATAAGATTCGTCGTCTCTCCATCCATGGTGAAGAAGAGGAATCTGTGGACTTGACATCCAAGAAAAAGGGTGTGAGGAATATAGAGATGGAGGTAAAACATGTCCGATCACTGAGCATGTTCAATAACCAAGGGCACTACCTGCTTGATAGACTGGGTGAATTCACCCTACTAAGGGTACTTGACCTGGATCACTGCAAGGGCCTACAGAACAAGCATATGGGAGATATTTGCCGGTTGTACTTTCTTAGGTACTTGAGCATGAGGGAAACAAATGTCAGTGTGATGCCTCCGGAAGTTGGTAAGCTGGAGCAATTACTGACACTTGACGCGCGTGGCACGCTCCTTGAAGGCCTTCCAGAAACTGTGATCAAGTTGCTTAAACTTGAGCGCCTGTTTTTCAGCAGCATCTGTGTCTGGGAAGTTCTGTGGACGCCGCCCAGGGGTGTCTCAAAAATGAAGGCTCTGCGCGAGGTGATTAAAATTGGCATCTCAGACGACATTGAGGTTGTTAAAGAGATTAGTAAACTGCAACAGATGCAGCTGATACACATCTTCGTGAAAAGGAGCGTACCTAGTGAGGAGGTCCTTCGGGAGCTTGCCGTCTCTCTGAGCAAGATATACTCTATGCGGTCACTCAACATTGGGCAGATAGGTAACACGGCTAATACATTGGACTTTCTACATTACGTCTCGCCGCCACGGCTCATTCGTAAGATATGGATTTCTGGCAGCATGGGTGGATTGCCGTCCTGGATCGGGTCACTCACATATCTTGAAGAGATCGAGCTTTTGTGCGCATTCCTTGTTGATGACCAACTATTCGAAATTCTGTGCGAGTCCCCCAACCTGAAGAGCATCATTTTGCATCGTAATTTCTGGACTCGAAGGGAGCTTGTTGCACGGACCGCACACAAGTTTATGGCGCTCAGAAGCTTGCATGTGTCCCTTGCTGATGAATTTCCCGAAGTTCTGCGATTCGAGCAAGGAGCCATGACAAGCCTAGAGAGTCTTTCTCTGCATATAGGTGATAATAACAACAACTTTGACGGCATCGAGCACTTAACAAACCTCAAAGAGGTGCACCTCTCTGGTGGTAGAGACTACTCTGCAATGAAGCTTGCCCTCGACATGCTAAAAGCGGAGAATGAGAGGCGGCACTCCAAAGTGTTCAAGATCACAGTGAGATATTAATCGCTCGCTTTTCTCACTCTGCTTGCTGCAAGTCTGTCGATTACCCATTAGTTTATCTGTTTTAGTAGACTTGTGGCTGAAGACCCTTTTGTTGTGGTTGTTTGTCAAGTTGTAGTGGCGCGTGATGCCGGCAGTTTGAACTTTCGGGCTTGTAGTGTGTTTAAACTTTGTGTTCTGCTGCCTGTCACTGTCAAAAATAAATAAAACTGTTGTGTTCTGTCAAATGGTTGTACTCGCAAACTTATTTTTCCTTTTATTAAAGGAAGATGAGCAATTAGCGCGCCTGGCTCGATGAATTACTTATTTACTACGGTTGATCAGCTGCCGATCTCTAAAGTCTAAACACGGGGAGGCTGCAAGCCTGCAACTGCATGATAGCTCGACGATAGACCACGACGTCGGTGGATTGTTCGATGTCAGGAGATGCAGGCGCGCTGGTTACGGCGGCCCAAGCGACTAGTGAGCTCGAGAGCCGTCTGCCGGCAGACGTAGCCAAGGACCATTCGACCGGATCTCCACTCTCTCGGTTTCATTTTAGAACGTCCACGCTCTCTGCTGCCGCCTGCTCGTGGGACGTCCAGCTGTTTCTGACGGGCCGAAACCTTGCTATCCTGCTTTGCAAACCAGTTGGGCCGAGTGTGTGAGGCATATGCTACTGCTGTAATGCTTCATCGAGCTAGCAGCATGAGCATATCCCCTCAAAAGAAAAAAAAACTAGCAGCATATCGCTCAATTTTTTTTTTTTTTGAGAAAGCAGCAGACGCAGAGTGTGCGAGAAGGGGACCTTTGACTCATAGGCCTATTGCTCCTCCTCTGCCCGACCCACAGCAAAACTGAATCCACACTGAGCTCAGGAATCGATGGACAAGTACACCGGCATCCCCGGCTCCGACGTCCTGCGCAGCCGCGCCGACGGCCAGCTCGTGGCCGTCACGTACATCCCTCGAGGGGAGCAGGTGGACGAGGCCGTGCGGCGGGAGATCATCAGGCACCGGTCGCTGCGCCACCCCAGCGTCGTCCGCCTCAGGGAGCTCGTTCTCACCCCGACGCACCTCGCCGTCGTCTCGGATCACGCCCCGGACCTCCACCGGCGGGTCCGCGACGCCGGCCGGTTCAGCGAGGACGAGGTGCCCCCGGTCAACTCCTCCATTATTGGTTCCTACCAACCAATTCATCCACAAATGGTGTTTCTTTCTTTCTCTGTACCAACCATCGAAGCTTGGTGCCATTTTTTCAGGCGCGTGTGCTGTTCCGGCAACTGGTATCAGGAGTCAGCTACTGCCACTCCATGGTAAACTAGTACTATTACACTGCCAATTACAGCTTCTTGTGGAAACAATGGCGGTTGCTAGGCTAGGAGTTCTGAATCTGTGCCGTCTAAATTTCTGGTAGCAGGTATGCCATCGTGACGTGAAGCTGGAGAACATCCTGCTGGATGGGAGCTGCGCGGGGCCTCCTCGGCTCAAGATATGCGGCCCCGGCGTTTCAAAGGTACTCAAAGATAGAGAATTCGTTTTGTTTTCACATCATATTTGCTCTGCTTAGAGTTAGATGTCAAACTCGGAATGCGCAGGGCCTCCTCGCCGCAAGATATGTGGCCCTGGCGTTTCAAAGGTACTCAAAGATAGATAACTCATTTTAACTTCAGCAGTAGTCCACTTCATATTTGCTCTGCCTAGATGCCAAACTCGAGAGTTATATTTTCTGGCTGAACCTCCGTTGCTTCATGGGTCCGTAGCGTCAGTCGCAGCCGGGAGCGCCAAGAGCGTCTGACCAAACACGGGTGTACATCGCTCCTGAGGTTTTTCAGCAAAGGGAATATGATGGCAAGGTATATATGCTTACATACATACATATTGGAATTCAGTTCAATGTTAATATGTTACACATACATACATGGGTTCTATTGAAAGCTCATGCATATCGGGAACTATTTCTCTGTTAATTTCTCAATGTAGATCGTCGATGTGTGGTCCTGTGGAGTGACGCTCTACGCCATGCTGGTCGGCGCTTACCCCTTCCAGTGTCCTGACGACGAGCCAATAAATTTTAGGAAGATAATTCAGGTTAATTTCTCTGTTTCAGCATCTAACTCTCAGTTCCATCTCCATCCATTCTTATTACAAAACTAATGAGAACTTCATATTGCCAGAGGATACAGAGCGTTGAATACTCAGTTCCAGATGACCTGCACATATCTGCCGAGTGGCGTGACCTCATTTCCAAGATCTTTGTTGCTGACCCAGCTGCTGTGAGTACCTGCTATATATGTGTATGCAACGTTGTTCGAGGAAGTACATATATTTTTGCATAGTGTTATACTGTTATATTATTTCCTTTCAGATACTACTACCGAATAACTATCGTGCTGATTATGAAATACAGAGAATCACGGTGCCTGAGATAAGAAACCATCCATGGTTCTTGAAGAATTTCCCGGCTGATGATAGCACAATGAGCACCGAGGAGGCAGAGCAGCCGACGCAGAGCATGGATGAGATGATGCAGATCCTAGCACTGGCAGAGGCACCATATCTACTGCCGACGACATAGAAGAATTTGTAGATTCAGACCCCTATATTGACATCACCACACGCTAGTACGCCTCATATATATTTGATATATTTTCAAACAAATTCCATATGTTACAAGGTATCAAATCTCAAAACATCATAGCAGCAGGAAAACTATATAGCTACAATAACTTGACCGCAAGATGGCCAGAAGGGGATAAATTTTAGGTTACCGCTAGTTGGGCTGCCCATGCTTTGATTTCCCCCAAATTGTTACTCTTGTTGCTCGTGATGGTTTTCATTCTTTTCAATATTGCACAACATTAGCTTACTGGATTAATTAACCATGCTGTTGTAATATTGCTTGAATATCTCGCTAATATGAGAACTGGTTGGTTATGTTGAACAATGTTTAATTTGTGAACCATTTAAATTAGTGGACATCAGATCAGTTCTATGGCTACTGCACACAAGTGCACGTTTACCACATAAAAAAGCATGGTAAACACTTCCGATTTATTTACCCGAATCACTAGAAAAAAAAAGTACCTTTGCCAAAGGCTAGGGAAGCGTAATCTCTCTGCTCGTCACAAGGCATGATCATGACTCATGAGGAGGCATGCGAAAAAGGACCGATGAGAGCTTTGGTGAGGTACGTGCACCCTATTTTTAATTTTTTTTTACATAGACCGATATAACTTTTAAACCGAGTGTCCAAATTACAAGTGTTTCCACCATTGCGTTAAAATAGCTTTGAAATTAAATACCATGTCGCCCATGTTACCATGTGTGTACTTCACATGTTAAGTACTCACATTTTTTTTATTTGCAAACAATTAAGCCAGAGCCATTGGCACCATTTTAATTTTAGTTCTAAGACATGAACTTTGCAATTATTGATAATTGTATTCATTAATCGATGCTAGGGCTATATCCTCATTTTTGATTAAAAAAGTGTGCCTTCCGCATCCCCATGTATTATAAAATGCTAAGCATCATTTATAGTTATACTAGCAAAAGGGCGTGTGCGTTGCAACGTGATAATAAAATTATGGTCTTCAAGTCAAGTTCCAAATATTCACATTGCATACATATACATGTATTTAAATATTTGTGCACCAATCGGTGTACATGTGGACGTAAGACATGTGCATCCTAACATGCTTAGAATGGATTGATGTTGTACTTGATCCTTGATGCATGTATGATTTTATACATCCTCGATGCGTGTGTGAGAAGGAAAAGAAAAGGTCAGTCTCACGATGGTTGAAAAAAATGGAGGGCCCTCTGACGTATGAATAATTCGTAGGAATGCTCGATTTTTTCACTTTTACGGATGACGGGGTGGGTAATCCACTTTAACTTTAGGGGCAATTTCGACGACAGACGAAAAATTCAGAGAAACAATTAACAACGAGTTTATTTTTACTTACAGGTGGCGTGTGGATAAATTACTTCAACTTTAGGGCCAATTTCGATGACAGACAAAAACTCAGATAATCAAGTAATAAGAGTTTCTTCACTTATGGGTGACATTATGTGTAATTTATTATGGGCATCTTAGGGTAGGTGGATGGACCAAATTTTTTAGTAGGTATAGGTATAGGTATAGATTCATGGGTGGCGGAGTAGGTAATTTACTTCAACTTTACGGGGCAGTTTCGATGACAAACGAAAAGTTTAGAGAAACAATTAGCGAAGAGTTTTTTCACTTACAGGTGGCGGGTGGGTAATTTACTTCAGTTTTAGAGGCAGTTTTAATGATAAACAAACAAATCATATAAACAATCAATGAAGAATTTTTTTCACTTACGGATGACATGATGGGTAATTTATCCAACTTTATGGACAATTTAGTGTAGGTGGACGGACCACAAACTCGGAGAAACGCACCGTTCTTTATTATTAGGTATAGATTTGCTTAAAAACTGAAATACGGTTCCATTTTTAACATGTTGTGAGTAGGACTAGCTGAGATATGGTTCATCCATGCTTTCTTCCTTCGATTTTCTCATACTTTGCTAAAACATCTCTAAAAAGAATACCATCAAAGTCTAATATACAACCCTGAATTATGAAACCCTCTACTTTAAATTCTTAAACTACCAAAAGCAGACAAGAAACAACCTTGGACAAGTTTTTGACTGGTCAACGGTATTGTTAGCCGCCATGTCACCCATGTCCACTTAACCCTATAAAAATAATTATGTTCAGCAAAACTTTTTGAACTTTACCAAAATGAATATGAGGGTAGTGTGGATTTTGAGAGTTTTTAAAAAAATCTGGGCATTTCCATTTTGACTAAATTTTGAACCAAATAGACTCTAAATTTTAATATTATTCCATATTTTCTATTCAAAAAAAACTTTATGAAAATTTATCAAATTGAATATATCGGTAGTTTTGATTTTTTGGATATTTGTTTTCGAAATTTTCTGACAACTCTCCTTTTTTGTCCATTCTTTTGACAAAATGGCTCTAGATTTGAATTTTTTCCAATTTTTTCCTATTGAATACATGTTGGAACTTTCCTAGATTGAATATGAGGGTAGTGTGCATATTTGAGAATTTTATCAAAAGATTATGGGCACTTTCATATTTTAGCCAAAATGGACCCAAAATGGATTAGAGTTTAAATTTACATTCTATTTTTTATTCAAAAAACTTGTTGAAAATTGCACAGATTGAAAATAAGGGTACTTTCAAATTTCTAGGCACTTTCCTTTTTGGCACATGGGTGGCGTGGCGCCTGACGGGACTGTTGACCAGTCAAAAACCAATACATGGCCGGTTTTGACCGTTCGAGGTTGTAAAATAGTTGTTTCATAGTTCAGGGTTGCATATTAGACTTTGGTGCTAGTTCGAGGATGAAATATGGATTTCTCTTGAAATAATAAAGTGAACCATTCCCCGGAGCTTTGAAAGCCGAAAGTTTTTTTTTTGACACCGTAGAACAATAGTTCTGCGGTATTTTCATTTCTCATCTGAAGTCCCGCGTCTTCCATTCTTTGTTGATTTTTATTTAGCTTGACCTGACAAGACGCACACCCATGGCTAAGTCATATGCTGGCCTGCGAAGAAGGTATACATTCGTGCGTTGGAAGCGAAAAAATCACAAGACTAAACTAATGCCCAGACTTCCTGGTGCAATTTAAACGCAATCGTAGTGCAGCTACTAAGCTGCACATCTGCATACGTACTCATTCCTTAACCCGGATATGCTTGATGCCAGCTGAGTGCGCCTAACTAACAGCCACATAGTATTGCTTTGTTGATTAAGGGATTGATTAATGCTAGTTGCCACTTAAGTATTATACGCCTTTGGCTTTAGCGTGGCTAACTTAACTACACTATGCCCCATGCAACTTGCCCAAGTGCCAAGTTCAAATTCGAAAGAAAAATAACTTGACAAAGTTCCAACCGGCCATATGCGGCCCAAAACCGCGGGCCCTACCAAGCCTGCAAGCACAAGTGGACGAGTGGACGTAGGCTACGACAGGAACGACGCGTTAGCATGTGGATGGAATTAAATTATGGCGAAGGGATCTAGGTGGTGACACTGACAGACGCGCTTCCCTTTTTTCTGGGCATCTCACCACATGGACCCAAGCGGAGGACTCAACCTCAGCCTCTCCAGTCAGGTCAACATACCACCCTTCTTCCTCCTCGGGCTGGCTGCTCCGTATAAATCTACACCAGCCGGCGGCTATCTAGAAATTCATCTCGCTTCTCTCCCCCCCAGCAAGGATTCATCTCGCTCCCCTCTTCTCTGCAAGGATCCCTCGAGTATTCCCCTCAAGGTCAGTGCCTAATTTTGTGAATCTTGAACTGATTATTTTGAGTGCTGGTAGATCCGGTGAAAGTTTTACCTCTTTAATTTAGTCTTGCATACGGAAACAGAGGAGAACTTAATCCGCATTCTGTGGCTCCTCGTGTTTCTCAGCTCCTCAGAAATGGCGACAGGAAGTAATAGTAGTAGCCAAGAGAGCAAGCAGCCAGGCCCCGAGCTGCCCAAGCAGCTGCCGTTCGATTTTCTCAAGAAAATCACCAACGATTTCGGCCAAGACCGGAAGATAAGCGGAAGCCCCTTCGGCACACTCTACAAGGTCTGTTTTCTCTTTCTCCCCTGCTGTTTTCCTCTGCTTCCGGTAAATTTAGGGTTATGCTAAAGCAGAGCATACATACGCGATTAAACAGGGGATTGTGCCAGATGACGGCAGAGTGATTGCCGTGAAGAAACTTCAGGAGAACGCGCCCATGCCGGCCGATAAGCAGTTCAACAGAGAGGTCCAGAATGTGATGTCTCTCAAGCATGACAACATAGTGGAGCTTGTCGGGTTCTGCTGCGAAACGCAGAAGAAACTGGTGCAGTTTGATAAGAGATACATCCAGGCGGACATCACCGAAAGCTTAATCTGCTATGAGTATTTACCTAATGGGAGCCTTCAGGAGAATCTTTTTGGTATGTGAACAGCATATCTTGCCTTTCTGTTTCAGTCCTTAACACGGTTGCATTTCAAGCTGGAGCTAGGAAATCACATGCTTACGATGTTATCTTTGTAACCTGATATGCAGAGCCCAAAGGGTCCACTAAACCAGAAATTGGTTGGGACGTACGCTTCAAAATAATCAAGGGGATTTGCCAAGGCTTACGTTTTCTACACAAGTTGGATATTCCCATTGTCCATATGGATTTGAAGCCTGAGAATATACTGTTGGATGCAAATATGGTGCCAAAGATAGCGGATTTTGCACTCTCAAGGGTCTTTGGCCAAGAACAAACCAGACTCTGCACGCAAACAGTTGTCGGATCATAGTAAGCTCATCATGAAATTTCATTACATAAGCTGGTCATTAGTTACATCATATATTACCGTTCCCCAATCCAATTTTTCCCGATTTAACTTGTGATGTTAATTCCATCCAGTGGGTACATGGCTCCAGAATATCTTTACAGAGGTGAAATATCAGCCCAGTCAGACATATACAGTTTAGGCCTAGTGATAATTGAGATCACCACTGGAGAGCAGAATCCTCGCGAAAAAGACCAACCATCTGCAAGAAGTTTTGTTGATAAAGTAAGAGAAATTATTACTCGGTTATTTCAGAAGGGAAGCATATTTCATACATTTTGTATGTGCATTATAACTAAGCATCTTGATTCCGCTTCTGTAGGTGCGTAAAGAATGGACGCTGGAGAACATAACATCCAAATATTCATCACTGGATCATGAAAGCCTCCAACAAGTTAAAACATGCATTGATATCGGGTCAAACTGTGTTGAGATTGATAGGACAAAAAGACCTCGCATAGAAGAAATTGTTGACTCGCTCAATGGACTACGTTCAAGCCAAAAGGTTACCGAGGTAATATTACAGAGTGCAAATTAAGAGGTTCTACTGTGAGATGATATAATTTAATTTTTTTATAGAAATAACTTCTTTTGGGAACGTTGGTCACTTCATTTTCTATGGTAACTAAAAGCTGATAAGTGCCACTTTCCTCGGAGATGTTGCCTATGCACACATGTTTTAAGTAGTGAAATTGCACTCATATTCATGAAGATGCACTATGTTATATGTTAGGTACATTCATATGTTTTAAATTCTCCCAAAAAATGAATTCATTAGTTCGTTATTTAGGTTGCATCATATATATCACACGTCTATATTGCACTCGACATATAGAAAAAATGTTTTGAATAAGATATATGCAACCTGGCCATTATATGCATAATCTTGTTTATAATACTGGTGTCAACTAAATGCACAATTTACTTTGTTGCTTCTCATTTCTAATGCATAACTTAGGTATTAATTAAACATATATTTTCTAAGTAAATCAAACGTCTGGATAAGCATATATATAGTTTACTCTGGAAATTTCAAATGATTCTAACATGCTATATATATGAACTTCCAGGTCTCCCGTCCGCCTACAACTGGCAAGAAGCTAATGGGCTCCATTTTTGGTCTGAAGAAATGAAACATGCACGCCTGTTACTGCTGGAAGATTGTAACTTTAATTTGGAAATAGGAGCCTTTGTTGCCATCTCGTCTTGGAAGCATTTAAGTGTAATTTTCTTATGTGTAATATGTCTTTTTATTACTATTAGTCAACTACTGCAGATGCAATAGTAGTTTTCATGTTGTCTCTGTTTATGGCAGTTTGAAATAAGAATCTGTTTCTCTAGCCTGCAAAGTTGACTAAGATGGCACTCCCTCCGGTCTTTTTTACTCCGCATATAAGATTTGTCTGAAATCAAACTTTGTAAAGTTTGACCAATTTTATAGAAAAAAATATTAACAACCACAATACAAATCGCTATCATTAGGCATGTCATGAATTTAATTTTCATACTGTATAACTTTAGTTTTGTAGATATTGATTTTTTTTTTGATAAATATTATCATCTGTATGAAGTTTGACTTCAGATAAATCTTATGTGCAGAGTAAAAAGGGCCGGAGGGAGTGCGAGTTTAACTTTGTTTCATTAAGAATTACATCGACCAATTTCAAAAAAAGGTAAAAGTATATGACTAGCTTAGACGTCCTGTCCAGAGCAAAAGTAGGACGCCTACATAGCCGTTTGATATGGTTGGAACAAAATAAGAATAATAACACGTTGAATTCCTCCCTAATATAAGTGTAGCTGCCCCGTGCACTAATTTTATTTGGCTACCTCACGGCTAAAATGCGGTAATAAATCAGGCCGGCCCTCACGGACAAAAGTAGCACGACTAATTTTATTTGGCTACCTCACGGTCGGATGACACTGTAATATTATGAAGCAGCAGATCGTTAATTATCAAAGAAAAAAAAAGCAGCAGATCGTCTGCGAGTGCCATCGGCCAATTGAACCGGTGTGGGTCACCACAGCACATTTTTAAGAGACACAGCCCGGCCCAAAGCCCAACACTCAGAATGTAAATGGACAACTCGCTGGACTTCGTGGGACTTCAGGAGCAACTAGTTGACAAGCGTTTCTTCGGGAGCCTCACAACTATCAGCGCCACTTGGCACGCTCTCAGCCGCCCACCACTTGTCGCGCTCTTGAAGCTTCCTCCGGATTTTTTTTCATTTTTCCGCACACGTTTTCGGCTTTTTAAACGGGTTTTTTGGGTTTTTTCGACGTTTCGGTTTTCCACCAGTCTTCCTTAGCTTTTGGATAAAAATACTTAATTTTTTTTATTTTTGCATGAAAAAACGGTTTTGCTTCCGCGAGAGTCACGGTTTTGCTTCCGCGAGAGGCACGGTTTTGCTTTCGTTCCACGAGAAACGGAAAAAAAACGTGTTTTTTGTTTTTTCGTTCCGCGAGAGGCACGGTTGTGCTTTCGCGAGATTCATGATCGTGCCCCTCGGAAACGAAAAAAACGCATTTTCTGTTTTTTTCCTTCCGTGAGAGGCACGGTTGTGCTTTCGCGAGAGGCACGGCCGTGCCTCTTGAAAACGAAAAAAACATATTTTTTTCCTTCCACGAGAGGCATGTTTGTACTTTCGCGAGAGGCACGGCCGTGCCTCCTCGAAAACGGAATAAAACGCGTTTTCTCTTCTTTTTTTTTCCTTCCGCGAGAGGCACAATTTTGCTTCCGCGAAAGGCACGGTTGTGATTTCACGAGAGGCACGGGCGTGCCTCTTCCGGAAAGGGAAAAAACCATTGTTCTCGGTTCGGTTTTTTCGTCCGATTTTTTTCGTCTGGTTTTTTCGTGAAAAACAAGTTCGCCCAAACCTATCAACATGAGATCTAGTTTTGAAGATCTCGGCACGAGGAATCCAACGGTGAAAACGGTTCTAGGTTTGGACACACGGTTTAAGAGATAAAACGTTTTGAATAAACGGATCTACAAAAAAGGGAAAACTCCTAGGTTGCGACAAGTGACGCACATGCAACGCGCCATTTGTCACAACCTGGGAAGATGGGAGTGATCTTGGTAATGAGTACTCCTCAATTAGTGATTTGGTGGGAGACTTGCCTAACCACCACTTCTTATGTGGGTCTATGGGGGAACGTATCTAGTGCATCGGGGCAATTGGTGCTACGGTGCACCGGACCTGTTGCATATCAAAAAATGTTAGAGAAAATCCGAAAAAAGATTAGTGCATCGACACAACATCAATGTATGTTGTCACAAATATTAAAATAAAAATTCAAAACAATGTTCAAGATACAAAAATGATAAATTTGACATCAATGTGCTAATAGGCCAAAACTGAAGCCTTGCTTGTGTTATGTATTATTTAGTGTCAAATTTGTCATTTTTGTATGTCAAGCAATGTTTCAATTTTTTATTTGAATTTTTATGACAACATACATTGATGTTGTGCCAATGCACTAAATTGTTTCGAGGTTTTTTCAAATATTTTTGAATGTGCAACGGGTGACCGGCGCACTGATAGCATCAATTACCCCGATGCATCAGATACATACACGGGTCTATGGAGTTAATTGAACGTTGGTACCACAATTGGGGAACTCAACGAATTGGTACCACCCCTCCAAAAAAATGATACCACTTTCCAAAAAAAAAGCAAGACAGTAAGGTCTAGGGCGGGCAACTACAAATCGTTCTAAACTTCATATAAACACTTGTTGACCGGGAAGCTGACCAGCGGGGCCTGCATGTTAGGGGCTGACATGGCATTTTCTTTGGCAAAAGACCCTTGTTTTATATGTAATCACGCAAATGCCTTTGTTTGCGAAAAGGCTCCTATGAGTGAATAAAACCAGCAAAAAAAAGAGTTGTGTCGGGATAGGTGTGCTGAACTAGGTATTGCTTGCGTCCAAGAAGAGGCTTAAATATTCTTATACTCTTATGTTGGACACGCCCGACTGTTCCTCTTTTTGTATGTATTTTTTTGTTTATGATTCTTTTTATCATTTTTCAGATCTTGGGTATTCTTTTTTTTTTGCACATTCCTTTTTTATATAGTTATTGTAATAGATGGTTTAGTTTTTTCAATACTGTCGGCATATTTTGAATTTACACTGAACTTTTTATTATGCAATATTTTTTCAGATCATTGTTTACTAAAAAAATGTTCAATGAATACAAAATTTGTTCATCACATATTATACAATAATGTTCAGTGTGTATTTATACAACAATGTTCACTGTATATTTCCAAAAAATATCACATAATATAAAAAGTTAAATATATATTTAAAAACCTTCATCATGTATTTAAAAAATGTTCATCATATAACTAAAAAAGATCATTGAATATTAAAAAATGTTCAATGTATATAACATAATTTTTCATTGTATGTTATATAATAATGTTCAGTGTGTATAATACAATAATGTTCAGTGTGTATAATACAATAATGTTCGGTCTATATTTTCCAGAAATATCACATAATATAAAAAAAGTTCAATAAATATGTAGAAAACTTAATAGTATGTTGAAAAATGTTAATCATATAATTAAAAAAGATCATTGTATATTATAAAATGTTCGATGCATATAAAAAAATTGTTCAGTGTGTATTTATACAATAATATTCACTGTGTATTTTCAAAAAATATTGCATAATACTCCCTCCGTTCCAAATTACTCGTCGTGCTTTTAATTTAAATTTGAACTAAAACCACGACGAGTAATTTGGAACAGTGGACGTAGAAAATAAGTTAAATATATATTTAAAAACTTCACCGTATATTAAAAAAAATATTCATCATATAGTTCAAAAAGATCATTGTATATAAAAATAGTTCAATGTATATAACGAAATTGTTCATGGTATATTATACAATAATGTTCAGTGTGTATTTTCCAAAAATATCCGATAATAGAAAAAGTTCAATATATATTTAAACAACTTCATAGTATATTTAATAATGTGCATCAAATAATTAAAAAGATCATTGTATATTATAGAAATGTTGAATGTATAAAACAAAACTTTTCAGTGTGTATTTATACAATAATGTTCAGTGTGTATTTTCTGAAAATATCGCATAATATAAAAAATTGTATTTTATATTAAAAAACTTCCTCGTATATTTAAAAAATATTAATCATATAATTATGAAAGATCACTGTATATTTAAAAAAATGTATATAACAAAATCGTTCATCGTATATTATACAATTATTTTCAGAGTGTATTTTAAAAACATCGCATAATAAATGGTTCAGTGTAAATTGAAAATATGTCGACAATATTGAAAATACTTATACCGTTTATTACATAACCTATATAAGTAAGAAATATGTAGAACTTTTAAAAGAAAAACCCGAAGAATACCCAAGATCTGAAAAAGATAAAAGAAATCTGAAACCGAAAAAACACTTACAAAAAAAATGAAACTGTCAAAGAAGACTAGCACATGTCTAAAGTTTAGATTATGAACTAATGTAAGCCTGTAGTTTGATGCAAGCCTTCCAGTGGCGTAGTGGTCATTGATTTGTAGACGCGCACCCAGACTTGGAACTGACCTGCAATTTTTTTTGAAAAATGGTATCAATTCTTTGAGACTGCCCCAATTGTGTTACCAACATGCAATTAACTCGGGTTTATGTCGTAGTCCAATTATTATTTTATGGCATATATGGTGCCCACATAGTGCCACATATTTGCTAAGCAAAATGATATATACAAAGCAAACCGATATGCGATGCCACGAGTATATGCCTAATTTAGTACCCCTCCGGTCATTCAGTACGGACCAAATAAACAAATTCAGTACAGAGCAAATAGTGTCCACTGTCCAGATTCAACATCAAAATTCAGAGTAGCATTCATAGTAGTATAGGAAATAACAGAATCTACAAAGCAGCGGCAACTTGCTCGACTCGCTCCCAAAGATTCCCTTGGATGGCGGCGGACAAAAGGAGGCGTTCGCGCAAGGCTCGGCTCGCTCCTATAGATTCTCTTGGACGGCGGTGGAGGAGGGGCCGAAGAGAGCATCGACAGGATTGGGGAGAGGATAGAAGAGGCACCCCCACACTGCTCGGCGCGGTATTTCCCTTGGACGGCAACCTCTCTGAGACACACGCGGTGACAAGGACCATGGAGAGGATTGGAAAGGGGGAGGGTGCGGGTGGCCATGGAGACGGCGGCAGCGGCGGCGGATGTTTTTGGCAAAGGAGGCTAATGCATTTGGATGTTGTGGTCAGCCTGCTGCCACCGGTGGGCTTTGTCGGGCTGCCCATATTTGACACATAATATAAAAATAATTTTCAATGTGTATTTTCCAAAAATATCACATAATATAAAAAAATCAATATATATTTAAACAACTTCATAGTATATTTAATAATGTTCATCAAATAATTAAAAAGATCAGTGTATATTACAAAAATGTTCAATGTATATAACAAAACTTTTCAGTGTGTATTTATACAATAATGTTCAGTTTGTATTTTCTGAAAATATCGCATAATATAAAAAAACTGAAATATATATTAAAAAACTTCATCGCATATTTAAAAAAAATTCATCATATAATTATAAAAGATGACTATAAATTAAAAAAAATCAATGTATGTAACAAAATTTTTTCATAGTATATTATACAATAATTTTCAAAGTGCATTTTAAAAAATATCGCATAATAAAATGTTCAGTGTAAATTGAAAATATGTCAACAACATCAAAAATACTTATACTGTTTATTACATAACCTATATAAGAAAGAAATATGCAAAACTTTTAAAAAGAAAACCCGAAGAATACCCAAGATCTGAAAAAAGATAAAATAAATCCAAAACAAATTAAAAAAGCACATACAAAAAATGAAACTGTCAAAAAAGACCAGCACATGTCTAAAGTTTAGATTATCAAATATTGTAAGCATGTACTTTGACGCAAGCTTTCCTGTGGCGTAGTGGTCATCGATTTGTAGACGCTCGCTCCCAGAGATTCTCTTGGACGGCGGCGGAGGAGGGGCTGAAGAGAGCATCAGCGGGATTGGGGAGAGGATAGAAGAGGCACTCCCACACAGCTCGACGCGGTTCCGGTGTTTCCCTTGGATGGCAACCTCTTTGAGACACACGGCGGCGACATGGACCATGAAGAGGATTGGAAGGGGGGAGGGTGCGGGTGGCCGTGGAGATGGCGGCGGCGGATGTTTTGGGCAAAGGAGGCGAACACATTTGGATGTTGTGGTCAGCCTGCTGGCACCGGTTTGCTTTGTCGGGCTGCCCATTTGTGACACATATTTTTAATGGATTCCCAAATACGCCATTTAGGTTTTTTTCTCCATGGGTGGCATTTTTGGGACAAGTGGGATCCAACGCCGTTTACATCCTGACCCAATATCCAGGCCGATCTCGGGCCTCACATTTCCACCGAATTTTAAATAAAGCCGGAAATGAATGATTACAGATTTTCCATAAAAAATAGTTATAATCATTCATCTTAATACCGAGAATGATCTATTTGTTATTTTAACATACGAACATAGGCATTTTCTGTGTGGTCGGACCAGGCCCAGGCTTGGCTTTTCAGGCCATGCTTTTGCAAGCTTTCAGCACTTTAGGATTAGTTCCCAGTTCTCAGTAGCAAAGTTTCATGCAAGGTGGTTCTAAAAAAAAAGGTTTCATGCCTGGTGCAGCAATTGAGGATGAGCAATGTTGAGGGTGACGGTTCAAAGCAGAGCATGTGGGGCTCACCCTATGTGTGATATAATATATATTTCTAGAAGGCTGGCGGTGCCTTCTTCCTTCATCATGCTAGGTGTTGGCTGGTTTTCTCCTGATTTTCTCAACTTATCTGGGCACCAACGTTTTCTTAATTAATGAAAATGGCACAGATTTTGTCTCGAGTTTCAAAAGTAATTAACCTCGATTATTCATCGAACTGCCTTTCCATATATTTGATATTTGCTCAATTATTCAATGTTATATCCCTCTTTATTGCATATGAATATAACATTGCTTCCCACAATATTTTAGTAAAATGTGATTGTACAACAAGTGGGCAATACACATTAGTGGCAACTCCTGTTTCGTAGAAGCTCGACAAATAATTAAATGAGAGAAAAAAAATATGGATTGTCCAAGAAAAGCGTTGAACAATGATCCAACGCAGATGAACACCCAAATAATCCAGTTCTGGCTCATTTCGACCTGTCAATTCTGGTGTTTCAGCTGGTGACTCCGTGATTAACCTACAACACACGAGGGGAGCAACGGTTAGGCGCAACTTTTATGGGTTAAATTGTTAGTACTAGTAGGACATTAAGCGTTAGTAACTTGTGTAGTTACCTTGAGATTAGTCATGCTTCCCCTTGACATCGTATTTGCACATCTTCTTCTTGGCACAGTTGATGAGGATGTCAGCAGAGTCGATACCTAGGAAACGCCAACACATCACACGTGAATACCTCAGGGAACGAAAAAAAGTGAAAGCAAAACACTCTGAACAACGCAGAGAATGGGCATCTAAAACACACAATGCAGAGCACGAGGAGAACGGATTTTGATGTATGTGTACCTGCAAGATACGCTCCGTGGACATATCCGTTGTATTTTTCGCTCGTGTGCTCGCCCGTGAAGTAAACCCTCCCAACTGGAGCCTGGATTACATCAGAGAAGAGCATCAAATTAGTTTAGTTTATTGTCAGTGGAGGAGGAGAGTGAAATGCAAGATAAATGCAGTCTAAATTTGTACGTACCCGGATGAGGTCATATTCGTAGCGGTTGACGCCGATGGGCCAGTTGGAGAATGAGCCCTTGAAGAACCGGTCGGACCACCACCGTGGCACGAGGATTTCCGTGGCGTCCGGCACGTCTTTCCCCGGGAACATCTTCCTCAGCACCGCCACCGCCTCGGCCATGGTCTGGTTGTCGGACTGCTGCTCGATCCTCCTCGACTCGTCGTCGGTGACCGTGACCAGCAGCACGTTGGACCCGGGGTACTGCTGCTCGAACTGTTGCCACACGGGGAAGTACCCTCTCCGGCCGCTGGCGTAGAGGAAGAACTCCTTGCCGGAGCCCTCAGGCCAGAACCTCTTGGGGAACCTGAGGAAGATCTTGGTGTACACGGCCATGTCGAACTGGTAGATGGACACGATCTTCCACGACGGCAGCTGCGGCTTGAACCGTATGAGGTCGGTCTGGAGGACGCCGAGGCTGGCGGAGACGACGACGTAGTCGGCCCGGTACACCTTGTTGTCCTCGGTCCGGACCATGACGCCGCTCGGGAAGTAGCTGATCTCCCGCACCACCGTGTTGAGCTTGAGCCTCGGGTCGACGATGGCGCCGGACTTGCGGTCGGTCTTGAGGTACTGCCCGGCGACATGGTACACCACGGACTCGTACCCCCGCTGGTCCGCCACGAAATAGACGTCGTCGCCGAAGTTGCTGAACGTCGGCAGCGGCTGCGTGTTCTGCAGGCTCGTCACGCGGGGTGGCTCGGCGAACTCGAAGTCGTGCTGGTAGTAGTCGATCACCATGTCCACCGGCCTCGCGGGGCCCGAAGGCATACTGGGACACGCAAGGGAGGGTTGCACGAATCAACGCACGGTAAAATAAAAATACATTTCTCTCTGGAGATCATCAAACAATTTGCTTGCAAAAGGGAGAAGCAGGCGTGCGCATCTGGCTGATCCGGTCGATGCAACGGTCGGCCGGAGGGTGCAGTTGCCATTAAGATATTTAGCACTTTGCCTAAGGCGGTATTTTGTACAGCTGTGAGGAAGCTTTAGGAGTAGTAAAATAGTTGGTGATGTCGCACTTGAATAATCTTGCTCTGTCACGCTCGATCAGATCAGAAGCAAGAGGTGCTAATGATGCTAGGTCACACTGCCTTTCGCGATGCTAGGTCGCCGTAGACGAAAATGGAGTGGGTGAACGGAAAAAAAATAGTGATTTCTTTTAAAAACTTGAGGCACTTTTTAATGATATTCGGCTCTTGGACTCGGCAGTGGCTGCCGTTTGCTAAAATTTTATGGATTTGATGATTTAGTATTGCAAACTGCATGATTGTGCTACGCAATTTGCTGGAATGCACTTGCTGGACAAGAATATATATGTGAGTCCAGGCATTGGTGGAGACATGTACATAGAGTAGTAGTTAGAGATAAGGGCGAGCAAGAATCATCGTCGGATTTTAAGGTGCATGTAAGACTTTCAATTTGGAAATAGACTCCTCTTAGCATGAACAAACAAGACTTTCAACACCCCAGTCCCCGGTTACGGCCCGTATATGATTCAAAGAATTGTCAAGTGATTTTTGGAGGATTTACCCGAGGAATTTTTTCTTATGCGAGTAGTTCTTTTTTATGGGAGTAGGTTTATTCATAGAATTGCATTCCATCATAATTTTTGCAATCAATTCATTTGAACTATATTTCATATGAAATTTTCATATACTCCAACTTGTGAAAAATCCTGTGTTAGAAGCATCATTGCCTTATAGTGCATGAATATGGGTTAACGTCACACCATCAGATCCATCTGGCGGGCTGCATCCGACGGCCATATACAACCCCTTGCACTAAAGGATGTGGCTTATGGGCGTGGAGGAACCACGAAAGGCAAGATCCATTCGCTCTAAATCCCTAACAAATCTCCCAGAGCTCATGGCTACTTAGCACACATCACTGGCTACTGCAAGGGGCAAGGAGCAAGATGAACGGTATAGGTACGTACTGGTCGTTGAGGCGTTGCATGGCCATGACAGACATGTCCTGTTGGCCGCTGTGGTGCAAGGTGCCGGAGAGCTTGCTCCCGCTCTCCTCCACTTCATCCATCCTCTCGATTATATTCTCAACAACTTTCTCGTCATAGAGACCACCGCTGCATCCACGCAAGAAAATTAATCAGCTCAGCTGTGAGACAAATGTAAATATTTTTCATAATATTTGGTTGGATCTAAGTTAAATCTAAGCGGATACTTCGGCCCTTTGGCAGAAAAAGCACTAAATATATGGTGATTTCGGCTATGATTGAATTTTTTTTCTGAAACTAAATTCGAAAACCAGAACGTGCACATACTCTTGCTTGTAGGTGTTGCTGGCGAGGTGGTCAAAGTCGGAGCGGAAGGTCCTGAGGTTGAGGCCTCCGGTGCCATTGGCCATGGTCCAGATGGGGTTCATCTCATCTCCATTCACCCCTTCCACCCAGTTGGCCCCCATCTCAACGTTCGCCCCGGCGAACTTGGTCTTGTGGATGCGCCCGCCGATGCGGTCCGTCGCCTCCAGGATCAGCAAGTCGGTGATCCCGGCCTCGGACAGCCTCTTCCCAGCCGAGATCCCTAAGACCACCAAGCACAAGAACTTGCATCAGTTACATGTGCACTCAAACCAACCTCCCGCATGCATGTATCTATGTCGATGCAAAATGCATGATGCATGTGTGTAGCGTGTATAACTTACCGGACATGCCGGCGCCAACGATGATGACTCTCGGACCGGCGGCGGTGGCCAGGGCGGCGCATTGTGCTGCTACAACGAGCACCAGAGCTATGGCTCTGCAGGGCTTCATCTCTAGCATCCTTCTCCTTCTTTCTCTCCCTCACTCACGAAGCTTGGAGACTTGCTTTGCTAGCTAGCTAGCTTGTGTTGAAGGATGGTGGTCCATCGCCAAGTGTATATAAAGAAGCGGCGCAAGACGCGACGGGGCGCGGGGGTCTCTCTAACTAGTACTCCCTTCGTCCGGAAATACTTGTTCTAGAAATGAATAAAATGGATGTATCTATAACTAAAATAAGTCTAGATATAACCATTTGTAGGACAAGTATTTCCGGACGGAGGGAGTACTAGTAAAGTTATTCTTGGCCAACGTGGGTTGCTTGGAAGCAACATTACCTTACGACATGCTCCGGCCGGCCGATAATAATATTGTGTGACTATAGCACAAACGGTTTGACCAACTCAAACCTTGGGCCTTTACCTTCAAAAAGACAAGTCCCCCGTCCTGTCTAGCTAGAGTTCATTTTTGTGAGATTCATACACATGTGTTCTAGGAAATCATATCCTTCAGTTTGGTCCAACTTTCATTGTCAAGTCTTTTTCCGTCCTGCAAAATGGCCCACTTCTTTTGCCTATGTTTCACTAAGTTTACGTTGACGATTAGATTATTTTTCAAAAAGTTTAGGTGGAACTATGACATAAACACAAGAGGAACTCAAACTATTCTGAAATGACACGTGAATCAAGTTACAGTCGCTGAGTCTAAAATTGTAAAAGAAATAAAAAGTAAAAACGACAACCGGTCGAACCCGCAATTACATAGCTCATCCATATATTGCACAACTGGTTAAACAAACCCCGCACAACTGATTCTAGGCGGCTGCACCTAGAGGCCATAAGTGCAAGCGCATACATGCTACAGTGATGACCACATACGGATGAAAACAGAACATAATTCACTAAAATTCATATGAAACTTGCATCTATGACAAAGAATGGTTTCATCAGTTTTGTTCATTTTTCAAAACAATTTTTTTTATTTTCAAAAATCTACTGAAACACAAACCAAAACTATATGAAACCTACATCGATAAGAATTGGTTCAGAAAATTTCATCAATGTTCCATTCCAGTTCCAAAACATTATTTTTTTAGTTCTGAAAATATATTCAACTTTGGTCTTGTTTGAAAGATCTCTAAAAGATACTCCCTCCGTCCAAAAAAACTTGTCCCAAGCTTGTCCCTCAAATGGATGTATCTAGCAGTAACTTGGTGCTAGATACATCTATTTGAGGGACAAGCTTTTTCGATGAAGGGAGTATATATCTAACCTTCTTCTTGCAGCTTAATAAGAGGATTCTTACCACGCTCAATGCGCCGACTCCCGCTCAAGGATGAGGACTTATTTTCTTACACAATACCGGTGCACCATAAGCATCTAGGAGTCCTACGGACCTTAGCTTTGTGGTGCCCCTACATTCAATCAGATGTCAGAGTAAATGCAACACATATTGACATTCCTTGGGGTCGGAGTGGAGCATAGCGCATCAAAGCCAACCTGCAAGGAGAATACATCGCATGGGAGGCAATTAACTAGTAAGTCAACAAATGGTATTTATCAGTTTTGCTTCTTTTTTGTTTCAGTTGCATTCATGATTTGTTTTTACATCAAGTTCTATTGGAAATGGTTTGGGATAACCTTCAAAAGGTAATCTTTTTAACAATTGTTTGGCTCCGTTATTTTATCATGATTTTGTTGCACGCCTCCAGACCTCCTTGTAAGTTTGTTGCACATATGTCATCCACTGGACAAGTCTCTCTGAGGAGGATACCTAAGAACTATAGCATTGCTCTGCCTAGGATCATGAATATCTTGATGTCACGGCAAAGAAAAATTCCTCATAAATTCGTCGAGGTTCAAGAGGTACATATAG